TGTTGGAGAGAGAAATAGCATCGTGGAAGAGACATAGACTGAGTAAAAAACGTCTTAAATGAATTTAGAATTTATTTAGAACTACAAATCAGAATCAGAATACTTTATTCATCCCGAGGGAAATTCAATTTCTTTTAGCAATTATTATTTTTTAATGTCACAATTCCAACCTTGCTCCTTTATCCGGGCCTGGACTGGCAAAAGTGACCCGAGATTGGCACTCTGGTGGAGTTACTGTGTGTGTGTTTATAAGTAGTTTTAAACCTTGTGATCCACAAAACAGCATAAAGGTAAAAGAAGAACTGACTGCGTTACAGTCAGTGCGGGAGCAGCGGCTTCGCTCATGCGAGATTCATTTGCAGTTTGGACGCATAGGTGTGAACATTTTCTGCCCTGATAGCAGCTGATAGCGCCTGTGAGCGCTTTGGCACGGGTGAGGTGCCCACGGCAGCACCGATGCTTGTTGAGAGTAAAAGCGATACGCGCTTTCAAGTCAAAAAGTCGTCATAAATAAGTCTCCAATAACACCAGAAAAAGTCGCCAGGTTTGTTGCTAGTCGCTTTTCAGAAAAAAAGTCGCTAAGGGGGTCTGAAAACTCACTGAATATAGCGACAAAGTCGTTAAGTTGGCAACACTGACTCAAATATGTAGAGCAAAATGTTCTGAAACGGCTTCACGTCGGCTTCGATTGGAGCCTATGGTGCTGGGGGCGGAGTCTGTGAATTTACTCTGTTGGTGTCATAGCCCCTCTAGGAGTTCAGAGTTAAGAGGTCAAGAGTTAATGTTTCCATTGTAACACCTCCAGATTTGACAGAGAAACACTCATTTTTAACATTCGATTTTAACTACTATCATTTTACACCTCAGAGTTACATTAAAAGAATGTGACTCTGCTTAGAGTAAAATTAATTCTACTTTTGCAACAAGACTATTAACACCAAAACAGTTAACACTTTTGAATTTGCTGTGTACTTTTGAAACGGTGCCGGTGCTTAAACGGTGCTTAAACGGTGCTTAAAGAACGGAGAACACAAAATTGGTCCAAAAACCTGTCATGTTCAGCTGTTTTTTTTGTAAAAAGATAACAATGTTAGACTATAGGGGATTTATGGTATCACTCTTAGCTGGAAGCAGTGCTTAATCAATGGAAAAAATACAAGATTTGTCCAAAAGCCTCTCATGTTTAGCTGTTTTCCACTTTTTCTTTGGTCATTTTAGCCTTTTTGGCCAGGGTGATGGGAGTATCTGCCATCAAACAAGAAGACAGCCGCATGCAACTACAACGGTGTTTGCTAGTTCACCTTACATGCATTAATGTAATAACGTGGTTAGCCTACTCAACGTAAATTATACACGAACAACATTAAGCTACTCACGCAGAGAAGAACGGCTGCTGCTGCCATCATCATCTGTCATCATTTCTGCTACACTGGCAGGGCTAGGGGCCAGGACTCTGTTCTTCGGTTTTGGGATGTTGCTAACTCCGGGTCCAATAACAGGCAACCCACCCGCAGTAGATGTGCACGGTGTGAGGTCTCGCAGCAAGCTATCAAATACAGCGCATTTCTCAGCTTTTAACAAAATGCTATGTGTCGCCAGGTGTTTCATCAGATTGGAGGAGTTACCTCCTTTGCACAGTATCACCTTAAAGCACTTGTTGCAGGCTGCTGAGTTTGCATCTTGTGCTGTGAAGTACAGCCAGACTTTTGACCTTTTTAATCTGTAGCTCTGCTCTAAAAGAACGTACGTACCTGGACCCACCTACTATCCTCGGAAAGGTAAAATGATTGGCCAGAATCCAAAGTGTATGACATGTCAGGGGGGGGAAAAAGCACCGAAATGTGCGCTGCTTTTCGGTCTGGTTACTACCATTTATGTCAGAATACCAGATACCGGTACCCATCCCTAGAAGATAGTCAGATTAACAGTATTTTGTGTCTATCTGCCATTCTGCAATTCATCTCATGTAAACAATAACGTGGCGCACAGCGTGACGTGAATAAAGGCACATACCTTTGACGTTGTGTGATGAACTCTGTATTCCTCGTCCACACGTAAACGCAAAAAAGGAGTTTTAAAAAATCTCCGTTTTCGGTGATTCGAAATGCTGTTTACGTGTGGACGAAACAGCTGCGTTTTCAAAATTACCCGTGTAGGTGTGGACGTAGCGTAAAAGAGTTAGTAGTTTATTTTCTTACTACCTGTAATTTATTGCAGATTACTTATATTTGCTTAATTGTTTACTAAATGTTTGAGCTGTGAAATAAACCGCAGTGGAGCAAAATATGGTTGTGTTTGGTTGGAGGATGTGTTTGTGCGTGTGCGTGCACGCGTGGTCAGTAGGGGGGCGCGAACATTTTTCTTGTAAAACAAAGGGGGGCCCAGCAAAAACAGTTTGGGAACCACTGAGATAGAGAGACATGCTGCAAAGCAGCCAGCCTGTTGGAGAATAATAGTGCAATCAAAAACAGAGTCTTAGCACAGCAGTTGCCCAACCCTTTTGTACTGTGAAACTGCTTTTTTGTTTTTAGTTATGTTTAATGCCACAGATATATGTGAATGATTTTATATTATAAATTATTATAAAATAAAGCAGATTGTTTCTGAAAGTTATTATTGCTTTTGCTTCCACAGAAAATTCTGGCAAGTTTACTATCGCTTTGTTTGGAGAAAAGCCTGATTTCATGAGCAAGATCGAAAGTACATTCCTCCAAGGTCACTGTACTTTTGGGAAGCCTTCACCTTACTGTGAATTGAAAGAAGATAATTCATTCAGGATCATCAGTGCTCCTAAATTCTTTGATGATGAATGTATGAATCCAGACCAAAAGATTATTGACTTCATGGCACTTTCATATCCTGGCCCTCATTTATTCATACTGGCAATAGAGTCAGAAAGCACATCTAAAGAAAAAGTGGGGAATCAAATCATTGCATTTAAAGATATCTTTGAAGAAAATGTCACAGAAAATTTAGTTGTCATCTTAGAAAAACAAGAAAACCATGATTTACTCAGTTATGTAGACGAAGTGTTCAACGTCAAGTCGGTTATTCTGAAAAAAATGGTTTCAGTATTTATGAACTGGTCTTCAAACCATCAGTCATTTCAGTTTGACTACAAAAACTACAGCCACAAAATTGTGCAAAGAAGGAAACATGAGTTGGAACGCAAAAGGTAAAAAAATTTTCCATACTCTAATTTTGAGATAAGCTGGTATTTATATTTTTGTGTACAGTCATAGTGATTACTGTTATCTTTTCAGAAATGACTTTCATTCTTACAATGACCTTCAGAGAACAGGTAAGTATATATTAGAATGCAGATTCTTCTGTTATTTATTTATTTATTTATTTATTAAATATTAGAATAATCTTAGAAAATGCTAAATGATTACCGCTATAATTACGCCATTATAGTTTTTTTTTTTTTTAATTATTATTAATTTCAGGTAAAATTTCTGGTTTTTGGCTGGCCAAACCTTTTCAGGCAAAGCTACACTATAGACATCAAGTGTTTAGTCTCCTCCAACAGCTATTTTCATTTTCTCTATTTGATCTACAATGATATCCTGTGTATCAGGGAGAGAATTGACGATCAGGGCTCTTTGTGTGTTAAAAGCCTTGCAGGTATACTAATTCTATGTTGTATCCACAGTGTCAGTAGCTAGCTATCCAAATACTCCTTAAATATTATCATATCATATCAGTTTTTTCTCTCTTCACTCTTCTGCCTGGCTCAGTCTGCCCTCTTCAGCTTCATCCCTATCTGGTCCACTGAGTTTTACATTTGATCAGTTATCATCCACTGCTTCGTTTTCCCTTTTTTCCTACTAATCTTGACAGAAGGTCATCACAACATCAAGAACAGTTTCTTGTTCATTCAGACGCAGGTTCATCCAAACGTGCTCCCCTCCTGTCATCACAATGGACCGGCTCTACGTTGATGAACAGCTCTACCATGACCCCAGCACCACTCCCTGGTTGTATTAATGCCACTCCATATAAGAATCCCTCTCCTTCTGTTAACTTTCTCCCCAACTTTGCTGTCTTTCTTATGTTCCTTTTCCATTCCCTGGTCTTGTCTACTGTTACTGTAGTAACTCCAAATAAAAAATCCTAATAAAATATGACTATCTAGTGGACCATTATAGCAAAAGCCATGGTTCACTTCTCAAAGTAAATCCATTCTGATTGCTGCACTGCCAGACAGGTCAGGTAAAAATTTTAATTTATTCACTTATATATTTATTTATATATTTATTTTTTGTATGTTTTTCGTAGAACCAGGTGTTTTCATAGTAATCTTAACAGGTTTCAGAAGAGAAGTAATTATGAAAATAGATTATCTATTACATACCCCATATCCCAGACTCTCCAAACATCTCAGTGTAAATATTATGAAAGGTTATAAAAATGCATACAGACTATCCATGTGGTTGAAAAATCCCTGAACATGTCTAAATGAACAGCATTCATTGCACATGTTTCCTCAGGTGTCTATTCGCTATGCTCCTTCAACTCACAAAGAATCTTTTTTGCACCTGAGCATAATATTAGTATACCTTAGAAGTTATGACACAATAAATGCATCCAGTTAAAAAAACAAAGGTAAAACAATGATTAGATGTCTTACCTTCAAAGTGTACATAATGCCTGATGCCACATAGAGGAACAGTTGGGAACTGAGAAATTAACTCAATTCCTGTTTTACATCTTCCAGGTGGCAGTGCCCACAGTTCGTTAGATGCTGTGTTTAACATAGTTCTGCTGGGAAAAGGTGGGACTGGAAAGAGCGCTTCAGCAAACGCAATCCTGGCTGCAGAGAACTCCCTGCAGCCAATGCTTCCATCCCTGACAATTGGGAATAGCCAGCAGGATTCAACCCCATTTAAATCCTATCCAAGCTCAACACCAGTAACCACCAAGTGTGAGACCAGAATGATGAAGGTTGGGAGTGGAAAACAGATTAGACTGGTTGACACCCCGGACTTCTGTCATGAAAACAAATCCATGCAAGAGGCACAGCTGAATGAGTGTAAGTTGTACTGTCAGCCAGGGCAGTGTGTGGTGTTACTTGTGATACAGCTCGGCAGGTTCACAGAGGGCGAAAGAGGAATATTAGAGAACCTGGAGAAACTTCTTGGCTGGAGAATCAGAGAAAAAACAATCGTCCTGTTTACACATGGGGAAAATATTAAATGTAACCTGAACGAGTTCATTGTTCCACAAAGTCACCTCAAGGAAATATTGGAAGCTTGTGGCAATCGTTACCATGTATTCAAGAACACCTCCAAAGACTCTAAACAGGTCAAGGAACTCATCAAGAAAGTTGAACAGTTGTTTCCAAATTTGACAGAAAAAGACCCATCTCCACAGTGTTGTTTGTGTTAGCTTTAACTTTGGTTGATGTGCACTGAATGTCCCAAAAAAGTGATCAACTCCAAGCCCGTTCTCACTCATGACACGTAATATACCAAAGATTTGTCACATCCCGAGGTGTTCCATGGAAAGGTGGCCTTCCGCGTTCCTATGCTACGCACCAAATTGTGGATGAAATTGAATAGAATAACGCTCCCACAGTAACACATGTTCCAGCCGTGTACTACAGCCCTAACCATAACCTTATCCCTAACGTTAACTACCACCTTAAGCGTGTTAGTGTTTTCCAAAGCGATTTATGTAAAATAAATGTACATGCGTAGATTCATTCAAAACAGTTCTCACGTTTCCTCATTTTTCCAAACTCATAATATAGGGACATGTTGGGTGGCCGAAAGTGCAATATACTGATGATTTGCCACCTGGTGTAAAATGTTATGCTTTGGAAGTGAGAACGTGTTGATAACTCCATGTATCAGTTTGTGGAGAAGGTACAAGTGTAATCCTTTGATGCAGTATGAATTTATTATTGTGTGTATTAATCTTGATAGCTGTTCTGTCATTGTAACTCCAATCTTCAAGTTTAGAAGATTACTTATTACTTATACTTATTTGCCTTTAAATATATTTACATATTTTTTTTGCAACTTAGGGAAATAAGTATGAATAATCAAATATGATGAAAAGATAATTAAAGACTTCAGTATCGTTTATAGATAGTCATTGTTCAGTATGTTCAGTATTGAAAGATCAAAACAGGTTGGAAGTAGGTGGGCAATATCTCCAGTTTTTCTTTTTTTTTTTGTATATCAGAAAATTGGGGTATGTTTGGGAAAGCTAGTTTATAAGTTCTGGTATAGCATAACGTGCATAAGACAAAATGTTGATGAGTAAAATATAACAATTTCTATACATCCAGTTTATTTGATATCTATTCAAAACAAAATGGAAAATAATGATAATAATAAACTCAACTTAATCCAGCAATTATGTTGTGTCTTGTTCTAACTAGTATTAACTATAAATGTTTATTACAACATCTTTATTACGTGTAGTTCACATATCAGCTCATGCCCTTTGTTCTGTCCATCTCGGGTGTTGCTCTTCCTTCTATTGGAGCAGGTATGCAGACATGTGGTCTCTGGCTCTCGGGGGTGGGTAATATTGCAGCCTCTCACTGATGGCACTTTATTTATGCTTTGATGGTTACCCCAGTGCTGTCAGCGTTAATCTTGCTAAAATGTCATTAACGCCATAACCGCATTAACGCGGCAAATCTCCATTAGCAAGTTAGGCTCACCCTGTGCGAGCAGCTGCGCGGCGCTAACCGCGCTGACGAATTGACAAGCTCAGCAATCTGTTCTCTGTTCATGGAGTTAGTGTTGTCAGACACATGAAACCTGTTACCACATTTGTTAACTAATTTTCCAATCATGGTGATTGGTGCAAACAGTTTTTCCAGGGTGTTGTAACAGCTGTCTGGCGAGTAAGGAGCGGCTAGCAGGTCCAGCGGGCATGTGGTGTGGAGGTTAGCCGGATAACTCGAAGCCAGTCGGTTAAATCCAATAACAGACCTTTATTCGCCGTCAGCAACATTACACTTTATAAGCCAGGTCTCCTCGGCTGTACTCGTCCAAGCCTACCTGCACAGGGATTGGTATCGCCAGCGCCAGCTTGTCACAACAGTAAGGTGTTTTCTTGGAGAATGGAATATGAGCAGCATGGAATGGCTGCCGCTAACAACACACACCCACTAGGAGACCCCCATAGCTACTACAATAGTTGGGCAACCCCCCCCCTAGTGGTGCTATAACCCAAAATGGTTGTTACAGTGTCCACACAATTTTGTTCTTCTTTGGTAAACCTACCAATCTGCAGGACCAGCAAGAAGACATGAGGGCCAGGAGTGGTAATCTGCATGGATTTTGCGATGTCTTTCTTTATACTGTCTGCAGTTTTAGATCTGTCTAGAAAGCCAGGTTTATAGACCACAGTGATCCTTCTTTCACAATCTGGAACATTTCCAAACTCACAGGTCTTTGTTGCTGACTCCAAGCTAACACTAGACTTAAAATATGTTTTACCCAGGATGGTGTTGCCAGTGGCACTCTTCCCAACACCAGGTTTCCCAATCATCAGAATCCTCATTGGAGGACTTGCAGAAAGAAAGAAAGGCCCAGTGTTATAATTACTGTTTGAATGAACATATTTTCAACTGCAATAGAAATTAAAAAAGAGGCAGCTAATAAACACTGACTGTAGTATAAAGAAGAAGTCTATATAAATGAGCCAACTTTGCCATCAGGGATTGCAGCACTGTTAACCATTTTTGTTCTTTACTATTTGGCAAATGAACATAAACTCAGCTCTTCACTGTTTTAATGTGGTGCAGCTCCCTGCACTCCGCCTATTGGGTGGACCTCAGCCTATATCACCAGGAGTGCATCTGTTACATTTCACAGCTTAAGAATAATTTTTCAAAAGCGCCATGTAAGTAACTCTTACTTGCATTGTTCCACTGCATTTACAAATCTCTAGTCTTTACTATAGATATAAAGACTGGAGAATGTTGCACATTCTGCCTATGTGGTTTAATATCACACTCAAATGACACAGTTCCACAATGAATCTAATTTTCATTTTTAACTTTTGTTGATTTTTGACCACTAAGGTATTGTGTTGACAAGAGAAATACAGAATTATATATTCTTTTTGCAAAAAAGATGGAAATGGCTGTGGTGAACCCATACTAAAGAAGAGGGAGGAACATAGGGTAACTTAAAAGAATGGATGAATGTGCACAAAGGTAGACTATTTTATGCAGAAGGTGCAATCTGAAAGAGACTGTAAGACGACCTAGACAGAATGTCGCAGGGCAGCATCGTAGGATGACTTTGACAATCAAGAAAAGGAAGTGAGTCAAGACAGAGGCGAGGATTAAATGGTGGAAATTAAAGAAGGAAGAATGTTGAAAAAGTCTTTAAGTGATAGGGGAGAGTCACCATTAAGCATACCATTTTTTGAGATTTCAGAACTTGAGCAGACCAATTCTTCCAAACTGTTGCACTCAGACTGTGGAATGCACTGCCTCTATTTCTGCAGAGTTTGGACTCTGTGGAAACTTTTAAAAAGCAGCTAAAGAGTTTTATTTATATAGTGCCAAATCACAACAACAGTTGCCTCAAAGCCCTTTATAGAAGATGTTGAGCCCTCAGACCACCCTGGTGATCAAATGCTAAACTTGAGTTTGAACAGAGTGTGTGAAATTTTTTGTAGCTGTCTTTATAATACTGGACATTTTTCATCATATCATTGTAAATATATACATCATCTTGAGTTTGACATTCTTAAAAAAATATAAGTAGCTGCTGCAGTGAGTTTCCTGGCTGAAAGGCTCTTACCTGAGAGTCCTGTAACCAAACCAAAATATATTTTTGCTGTCATTTACTTTAGTGCCAGTTGCCAAACAATGGACTGCTACCAAAATTGTACTTCTCATTTTGAAAGAGCCACAGCTTCACCAGGTTTAGTGATTGTGTATCTAAGAAAGAAAGCAATACAGAAACCTTAAAGTAGGAAAAAGCAGATATCACTTTTGAAAGGTACTTTTTAAACTTTTTTCGTTGTTGTTGTTGTTGTTCTTGTTGTTTTTTAATTATACACTTCATATCACAGCTTCACAAATAAAAAACTGAAAGAATCTTTTGACACTGTGAAAAAAAAATGATCTGGGTCAAGAGGTGCATGGTATGGAGTGAATTTCCAGGTTCTATTGTTGAGTCTGTGGCAGTTTTTGCAATCATTTTCCCTTTGACTGCTGTAGAAACATGTCCTTTTGTTCTTCATGTGGTGCCACCTAATAAAAGTCATGCAATGTTTGGGTTTTTTTCCAAATCTCATTGACAGGCAGAACATGGAAAGTACAGCTTGTCAAGATCTGGTGTTGAATGAAAGGGTAGTTGTAATTGTTGGACTGAAAAGCTACATGCTTCTTGCTAGTACTCATACTGGAATGCTTGAACAAAGAACTTGAAGTTAGCAGCCAACACATTATTTACCCTAGTTTTTAAATAGAAGATATGCTCTGAACACCATGACTCACAGATTATTGCCCATAAAACAACAGATGTGTCCTTAACCCTGAGCACAAGAAAACTGCAGGAGGAATAGTGACTCTTGTGAATTTTGACAGAGGGATGCCTCACTATGGCATAAACTTATTAGACCTTTTGTTGGATGACCTAATGAGTCCTATTGAGTCCTAAAGCAGGACTCATGTCCCTCATGGTGTCTTTTTTAGACATTGAGGGAACTGTATTAGAGCCTGTTTGATATCCCACTCTTTAAAAACCTAAAGTTAAAAGGATTCTGGGGTTCTGTAAAAATGTAACAACCAGGGGTCCTGACAAAGCATTACTCTGTGACAAGTTGCAAAGGAGAACTGATTCTTCTGCATGATTCATGTACTAAATATACAAAATGAATATCATGTACTTCTAGAAAATGCAAGAACAGTACAACAGGATATTTCACAATGGCTCTTCTCCAAGTAAAAAAACACCACATAAAAATAAAAGCGTACATATATAATCATGCAACTATATGTCTACACTGTCAGAACTAAATATATGGACCATTTAAACAAGCTTCTCATTTTTTCAGATTTTTTTCTGTCCTGATCCTTTAAAAAGCTTTTTATAAAAGTCATTTAAAATCACCTTTTTCCAAAAAAACATTTGGAACTGACAGAAAACACAATTTGATGAAAACATGAAAACACGATTTTGAATAACAGGAAAAAAGCAAAATTACAAATTAAAAATTTCAATAATTTATTCCACCGTTCTTTTGATTATTGAAATTTTTAATTTGTTCATTTGCTAAACTTTGCACAAACCTTATCAGCCAAATAAATCCAGCAACCTTGCTGGTGTAGCTGCTAACTATCCAGCTCTGTTATAGGTATTGGTGTTTTTAGTGTCATAACTAAATAACAACTGAATATTTGTTTTAACTACACCTTCCAGGTGACAGTGCCCATGGTGTGTCAGGAACTATACTGAACATTGTTCTGTTGGGAGAAAGTGGGACTGGAAAGAGTGCATCTGGAAACACCATCCTCGCTGCAGGAAACTCCCAGCATTTAATCATTCAAGCATTCAGTTCATCTCAGCAAGAAGTGTGACCCCAAAGTGCTGCACTGTATGCCTGTAAGTTTTCTCCCCAACAAGCACAACAATGTCGACGAAACGTTTTACATCATCAAAGGCACCTGCAGTAACACCCAAAAGGCAGAGGAACATGTTAAACACAGCACAAAAAGTTAAAACTAAAGGAAGGTAGAAGTTACTGTATTTTTCGGACCATAAGGCACACCGGATTATGAGGCGCATTAAGCAAAACAAAACAGTCAGATAAGTCAAACTTTCCTCAACTCATTCTTCTTGCTTCCTCTACTTCCGTACCATTGATTCATTAATGTTGAATTCTCTCGCAGCTGCTCTATTCCCATGTTCTGGACCTGAAAACAGGGTTTGATCTTTGGTTTCATTCTATAATACCGAACTTATTTTTCTACGAATTTTGGAACTTTGAGAGTGTTTAAACAAGAGAGAAAAATGTGAAAATGTTCGTGCCTGTCAGAGAAAAGTGTATAAAGTGTGTAGTGAGGGGTTTTACGCCCTTAAAACATCTATAATAATTGTAAACATTGGTTACTTCGCCGATTTCACCTATCACAGGTTATTTTTAGAACGTAACTCCCGCGATAAACGAGGGACCGCTGTACATCTGAATGGCTGCCAAAGGACCTATTCCCCTGTGCACTGATCATCAGTCTCATAAGGATTCCCGCTTTTTTTTACTTCTGTAAAATTTCTTCAGGGTATACAGCTAAATGTACATCTACTCTAAACACGGTGATATATTCAAATCTCTGAACACAATACAAGGTTCTTTAGAGAATAGGAGCAAGTCAGTGTACTCCTAGTACCATTCAATAGTGGTAAAGGACTGCACACAGCCTTGTTGTGCCCCAGTGAGGGAGAAGGAGAGGTGGGTCCTATTTGGACTTTCTGTGGGCAGTTCGTGAGGAAGTCTTTGATGCAGGTGAAGGTGGGGAGATTTGGAGATTTGTAAGTCTTGTAATTTTCTGATTAGGATGCCCTGGATGATAACACTGAATGCACAGTTACAGTCACTTAAGAGTGTTTTCAGATAGCACCCTTTGTGCTTTAGGTGGTTTAGGACTGTGTGGGTTGTCACATGCTGATCCTAAAGTATGAGTGAATAGGTATTGGAGACAGTTCATACTTAGACCTACGACAGGCTCCTCCTGTGCCTCCACTTAGTTCTGTAGTCTAACCAAGTGAAAAATCAATTTTAAGACTTTCACATTATAAAGCAAACTTTTCCAGTGCAACACATCTGCTTGGGGCCTCATGGTGTTAACCCAGCCTGTCACATATGTGTTGAAAGATTACACCAAATGGCTTTTTGGTTTGTTACAGTTTAACACTAAGGGGTCCTGACAATGCACCACTGTGATGATTGGTGAGTAGAAACAGGTCTTTCTGCAGCCTTCATGTCTCTTCTAACAATGAATGCCTGTTTGTACTTTAAGCTAAACATAGTCTGTGTTATCATTGGCTTGTGAGTCATCTGAAAAAATTGTTCTAACCTACATGAAATGTGCTACACAAACAGAGTTTGACTGATTGATTTTTTTGATTGACAAGTTCAGCAGGATATTTTTTGGCCTACTGTCATTTACACTAACAAAAACATGTGCAGTGTTAAATCATGCAACCAGTCAACTTAATCTCTTGCAGTAGATATCTGTGCAGTTCCTGAGTCATACTGAAAAGCATGCCTTTTATCAAGGATTTCACCATCATCAAGGCTGCAGGAGAAAAAAGTGATGGTCCCTTGGAGAGTTTTTAGATCAGATAGGTGACGTTTAAAGAATTAAGGCAATGTGCAAGTTGCTGGTTTATTTATTTATTTTTAGTCTTTCCAAGATGTCAATTTGATCCCCATCAGTCACCAACAGCATCCTGGTAAAACAGGTGCTGTAAGGGGTGAAACAAATGGAGCAAACCTGTGCGCTGAAACTTGCAGCTGTACGTGACTGTACATCTAGTACTATTCAGTACTGTGAGAATGATGTGATCAAGTTTTTTTATATAAACATTTTTTTAAACAAGTTTGTGAAATAAATACATAAAAATAGAAAAAATAGTAATTATATATTTGTTTTTAAAAAGTTATAAAAAGAACCCTTTGTTGAGATAAGCAGGACAGAGCAGATCTATTTTGTTGTTGTTGTTGTTGTTTTTTCGTTTTGTTTTTTACCAGAAAAGATGGATATGTCTTTCAGCCATTGCTACTATCTGTTTTTTTTTTTATCAAGTCCTTCGGTTCTGGCTCCGTTCCTCTTCACCATCTACGCTGCAGACTTCTCCCACAACTCCACCCAGTGCTTCCTGCAGAAGTTCTCTGATGACTCTGCAATAGTCGGCCTCATCACTGATGGGGACGACAAGGAGTACAGAGGTCTGACCCAAGACTTTGTGGACTGGTGCCAGCTGAACTACCTCCAGATCAACGCCAGTAAAACCAAGGAACTGGTGGTAGACTTCCGCAGGCACAAGCATTCTCCACTGCAACCACTGAACATCCAAGGTATGGACATTGAGGCTGTGGACAGCTACAGGTACCTTGGTGTTCATCTGAACAATAGACTGGACTGGACTCATAACTCAGACGCCCTCTACAGGAAAGGGCAGAGCAGGCTGTACCTGCTGCGGAGACTCAGGTCGTTTGGAGTGGAGGGCCCACTCCTGAAGACCTTCTATGACTCTGTTGTGGCTTCTGCTATCTTTTATGGCGTGGTCTGCTGGGGCGGCAGCATCTCTGCTGGGGACAGGAAGAGACTGAACAGGGTGATCCGAAGGGCCAGCTCTGTTCTAGGATGCCCTCTGGACCCAGTGGAGGTGGTGAGTGACAGGAGAACGGCGGCTAAGCTGTCATCCCTGTTGGACAACATCTCCCACCCCATGCAGCAGACTGTGACAGCACTGAGCAGCTCCTTCAGTGGGAGACTGCGGCACCCACGGTGTGGGACGGAGAGATTTCGCAGGTCTTTCCTCCCCACTGCTGTCAGACTCCATAATAAAGACTTTAACTGATCAAGCACACACATCCATACATATGCAATAATACTAAGTGCAATAATCCTTTCTGTCATCGTTGTATTTTTACTCAGTTGTATATAGTATTTGTATTTGTATTCTATTTTTATCTTATTGTATATTTATTTTATTTTATTCTACTGTATATAGTATTTTATTCTATTCTGTACAGCTGTGTACTGTATTTATTCTTATTGTATTCTAATTTTTGCCTCATAACTTTTGCACTGTCCACTTCCTGCTGTGACAAAACAAATTTCCCACGTGTGGGACTAATAAAGGTTATCTTATCTTATCTTATCTTATCTTATCTTATCTTATCTTATCTTATCTTATCTTATCTTATCATAAAAAGCCTTTTTGTTTTGGACATGACAAGGACATATTTCATGATTTTCATTTTTAAACCTAATGTCTTTCTTGTCTTTCTTAATTTAAAGTGATAAGTATTTGTAAAGATATGCACAAACTGTACAAACCAGTATCATGGCAAATTGTGTAATAGACACACTGTTGCACCATGTCTATTTTTTGCTTTGCCTCGCCAAAATGAGAAAATGGACACGGATGTAGAAGTTGCAGTACCAGCAGGGGGAGAGATTTAAAGCCAAACCTCTGTAGTGAGAAAAAAAAACATATGAAGTACATTCCAGAGTCGTTAATTGCCAAACACAATTAGGCTAGGCGGCTAACATGTACATACATGCAAATGTGTTATTAATGTCAAGCCAAAGCATGAAATGGACACAGTGGACCTGGCATGGCTATAACACGCTTTACTGTGATATCAGGTTGAACTGACATTGCAAAAGACTGCTTAAAAATGCTGTAAAATTCCTGAAACCATGAAGCATGGGGATGGGGCTGGATGAAGCCAATGACTTGCCAGGTGAAGAGATTCACAGTTATTTAAGATGTGCACAAAGATTATGGGAATACTCAGTGGAAGAGGCAGGATGATTAATCCACAGGGATCTCCATGTGATCTTTGTTTGCACTGATTTATCATCACTATTTGATATAAACTATTATATAGAGTATATGATTTAAATAATTTCGGCATTGTGCAGGGAAGTTCCACCACCTCCTTTGTGTTTTGAGGCAACACAAGTACCTGGTTTACCTGGTTTACCTGCACTCTCATGGGGTCTACTTTAGACTTTGAAGGAATTGTGCTTTGGACACACTTTTCACGCTGTTCTTTGTTTTTGTAGAAATGAAACATCTACCAGTCTTATCAAAGCATCATTTTGTGAAAAGTTAGGAGGGAATACTGGTTGGTCTGCTTCCTTCACATATGTACAAACAATGAATACACGAAACCACAGCAACTGTACAGCTAGTTGTTTCACATTGCTGTTGTTTCACAGAATGTAATGATGCAAATATCCTAATCCCTATATTTCACTGAAAATGGCACAGAAAGACACACAAAATATTAAATCTGACTTTTCCCTCTTCGGAGAGCCTGTCTATCTGAAGGACCAACAGGAAGACGTGAGCCCCAGGAGAGGGCAAATAGATGCAGTTTGCAGTTTCTGTACTTTTAGAGTCAACCAGAATGCCAACAGCATCGACCAGAGAGATTTAACAGGCCAATCATGAATTCATTTTATCTAACTAATTACCCTGCCTGTATTATTGACCAACACCACTTTGGCCAGTAATACTGTAACAATCCTTCTTTGGGGGACCTGCAGAAAAATTAAATTTGACAAGTTTTATCTAACTTTTTACAGCAATATAAATCTGATTTTCTTATGCTGATGTTTAGTCTGTGACTTTTTTGTTGGAATGAAATGAAGCAGCATTCCACTCTTTGAGTGTGAAGTAGATGATAGCGCTCCGCCCATCTAGTGGGTGGATCTATTTTCTCAGTATACACAGCAGGAGCCTCAAAGGTGTTTCAAATACTCCACTGAAACCTGCACACTGTCAGTACATCATTAAGAAAGCTGCCAAGATGAGCTCAGCTACGTGTTCAGGTAAGTGACGTCTTCTTAATTTAATTACTTCATGGCATCAATGGTTCTATCACATTAAAAGTATTGTGTTTAATATCATAGCTTCAAACTTCAAATATACATTCAGGACTGAATTACAGTATTTCTGTAGCTATTTAAATAGAAATAAAAAGTATTTAAGATTTGGCACTCAATTTAATACATGTTTATCAATTATTAATCTCAGCAGCAATTTGTTTTCTTACACATCCAAACTGTGTTTCATATGAGCTAAGTTAATGAGAATACTTTTATACAATAATAATTCTAAGGATAGTTCAGACCTGGTGGTTAAATAATGACCCAGTAGAATCAGAATACTACATTTGTCAAATTTTCCCAACAACATAGTGCCCTTAATTTAATATGTGTTAATAAGATATAACTGTTTGGGTGATGTAATATGACAAAAACTGGTTTATTTCTTTTGCAATATGTGGTTTCAGTTTGTAATGGTGGATTGTTCTTAATAATAAGAAAAAGTAGGATGGAGACTTTTTAAGCAGGGCTTCACTCTTCTCCACACGTGATCAGCTTCACTGCAACAACCTTCCTTTTCTGAGTAATCAGTGAGACTTTATGTGAGACTTATACTGTGAGCTAATGTGATCTGTCATGACCGTGCCAGCTTTGCTTCATCAGCTTTATAAAGTCACTGCTGTATTGCATTGTCCATAATACATGAAGACAATACCTCAGTCGGGTTAATTTAACTGACATTGCCTGCTTAAAAATACAATGTGCCAAGTCAGTCCAGCTGATGGTGGTTTGCTTCATCTGCAGAAAGAGGTTAGATAAATAAGGTTTTGATCCTTTCTGTTACGTCTCAGGTTATATCTGTTGCCAAATAACTGACTGTTTGCTATTACTATTTCTTCCAGGTGGCAGGGGTAACGTATTTAATATCATTCTGTTGGGAAACTCTGGGACTGGAAAGAGTGCCTCAGGAAACACCCTCCTGAATGCTGGAAAGCATCAGAGTAGACCAGCTCAGCATTTTTTTTCTTACCCAAGCTCTACACCGGTGACCACAAAGTGTCAGGAGATAACGGTAAAGATGTTTGGGAGATGGGTTAGTGTGGTCGACACCCCAGACTTCTTTTACGAAGACCAACCCGTAGATGAGGAAGAAATCAAGGTGTGTAAGCAGTACTGCAAGTCAAGGCAGCATGTGATATTACTTGTGATACAGCTGGGCCGGTTCACAGATGGTGAGGCAGGAATATTAGAGAAGCTGGAGAACACGTTTGGCAGGATCAGCGACCGTACAATCATCCTGTTTACACACGGAGAAAATCTGCATTGTGATGTGAAGCAGTTTATTGGTGAACGGATTCATCTCAAGCGCATTGTGGAAGCTTGTGGCGATCGTTACCATGTATTCAAGAACACCTCCAAGAACTCCAGACAGGTCAAGGAACTCATCGAGACATCTGAACATATGTTTCCAGGTTTCAGAACAAAAAAATCATTCCCACTGTTCTGTTGCGGTTAACTTTGGCTAACACACACTGAATGCCCAAATGTTAGTTGTTTATAGTCAGAAAATGTTTCCAGCTTTCACACTATAACCATCAATAAACATCATGTTGTCTGTGAACTTTGTGTTAGCTTTGGCTGATTCAGTCTGAATAATCTTATTTAAAAACTATCTACAAGTTTGTAAAGGGTGACAAGTACAAATATAATTTTTTGAAGCGGTGTGTAATTTACTGTGACTGTATAATAATTATAATTAAATTCTACTACTGCTAACCTTCCACTGAAATCATACTTTTGCCTTATGTGTAATCTAAAATCCTGGACAAATTTAAGAAACACTTGAAAATTGCATGTCAGATGAAAAGATGGCTTGTATTTCACATGACTTATAGAAGGGTAAGTAAATTAATCTATTTTGATTGGACCAAATATTAGTCTGGGCTATTCTTCTATTTTTTTTAACCTTGTGCTTGTTTTCAGGGTTTAATCATTTTATTTTACCTGCTCTCTCTGCCCTCTTATCTTCATGTTTGCTCTTCCTTATTCTGATTTCATCACAGCATAAATAGAATAAATATCAGTAAATCAGTCATTTTCCTGCTGTTTCTCATATGAACTGCAATGGTTAAAGCTACAAACTTGTGTCCCCATACTTTAAAACTGCAACACAACACTGTCATTTTACTCAGACTTCACCTCAATTCTCTGACATTTTTTTTTTTTTTTTTTTCTAAATGACATCAGAAACAGCAGTATGCGACATTAC